TGGTGAATAATATTCCACTTACATGGTAGATTTTCAGATGCTGTTACTTAAGGAAGCACCAAATGTTAACACAACAGAGACCATAAAATTATTTTATGTCCTCCCATGATGCTGAAAGGAAGTTTCATATTCTGATCTCTGAATGAATCCCTTTCTGTTTAAAAACAAAACAATCTAAAAACTGCTACAGGATTGTGAAGTAGCTTATCTGCAGGATGACTCATGTCTGGTTAAGATGGAAACTGGTGTGTGGTCAGAGTTCAGTACCTGCCCCCTTGGAATAAAACTGAAAATAAAAGCATTAAACACTTACCTATATCAAAAAAGTGCACATTTTTATATTTATAAAACCACGTAAGCTGGTTTGAATAAAAAAGTTTGAACATACCTATACCCCCAGTCTCAGGGGGCCACCAAAATCTAGGTGTGGATTGCATGCTTTGTTTAGAAATCAGTAGTTTGCTTTTCGTACTTCAGCCCATATACATTCACATATTATCATGAAAATATACTAGTCTGAACAGATCTTGTATTGGTGGGCAGAACACTTTTCATGCCACTACAGCTACTGAAGTACGATCTGTGGAATACTAGAAGGTTATGGTAGGCACTGAAGTTCCCAGACTTCCTGTCAGTTATAATTGTGATAAACTCTACACAGTGGATGAACGTACTTCAAATTTGTGTACTTTTCCAAAGGTACTGATGCTGTAAAATCAAAAGTTTTGTGGAACTGTGATTTATTTTCTTTCTTTCTGGGTTTCTTTTTATGTATTAAACAACTTGTAGCACTTATTTTGCTGGCTGGAAGAGTATGGAATGATATATCTCACGTCATTTTGTAGAAGGAAAACTATTTGGAGGCATTTTTGGTTTTCCCTAACATGTAATCACAGTAAGCATTTGTCATGTGCGTGCTTAGAGCTTGTACTCAATTCTTTCTATCTGTAAATTGGTTTAAATACATGAAAGTTTATATACGTTTTTAAAAAGTTGCTTTGGTTGCATTTCTTTAAAGAATGTGATAAACACATATTTACCATTTAGCCATTTTAAGAGTATAGTTTTGTAATATACATTCACATTCTTACAACTACATCACTCTATACCTACTATGTAGCTTTCCATTCCTCCTATCCTAGCCCCTGACAACCACTGTTCTTCTTTTTGTCTCTCTAAACATAATTCTGGGTTCCTCACAAGTGAAACCAGACAGCACCTTTCCTTTGTGTCTGTCTCATATTTCACTTAACATGTCTTCAGTGTTCATCAGTATGAAATTTTTCTTCTATTCAAAAGGAATTATATGGAGCCGGGCGTGGTGGTGCACACCTTTGATCCCAGCATTGGGGAGGCAGAGGTAAGTGGATCTCTGTTATTTCAAGCCCAGCCCGGTCTATATATACTAAGCTGAGGCTACAGGGAGACCCTATCTCAAAAAAACTTTAAAAAAAAAAAAAAAGGAAAAAGAAAAAAAAAGTATATGTATATATGCATATACCACATTTAGTTTATCAGTCCATCAGCACTTGGCTCTTTTTGTGCATTAATATCTGTTAAAATCAATCATGTTGAAAACCACCCCAAAGAACAATGGGTTCTTGTTGGTGTTTTCGTGCCTTTCAGTTATTAAGAATAGGAACAAGTACTTCTACACACAAAGCTAAACTGCTCACATATATATTCTGTTAAAACCATTTTTTCATAAAAATCACATTTTTCTGACATTAACAGAAGGATTACCAACTCAAGCATGTTGAAAACCACCCAAAAGAACAATGGCAAAACTTGTTTTTAAAAACACAAAAGACATACAAGTATCCATTGCAAATTTATTATGCATTAAGAAGCTTAACCTAAAAACCAACAGCATAGTAAAAAGATATGTTATCTCTGTTCATGGCAGAACAGGCTTCAAAATATAATTTCTTTTAAATGTATTCAGTCAGTACACAATCCATTATAAAAGATGTATATATTTTCTGTCAATACCTTCATTACATTTATAAATACAAGATTTACACAGCACCCCATCGAAAAAAAAATTAAAACCCTTACAAATATCTACATGTATTTCATACCTATAAAACTTTCAAAGAAGTGCTTTGTTAAAGATAGGTCCTAATTAATGGTCCATTTACTGTGCAGCAAAATACATATAAATCTGTAAAGTTTTCTTTGTCCATAAAACATCTCAAAAAATTAGCAAGACACATCGTGAAACTGAGCTTACTAACCCTCATAATTTAGAAAGGAATTTGATGTGCATATTCCTATGAGAATCGAAAGTCAGATAAACAGATATACATCCGCTGAAAACAAATGCATACTACATTAACAGTTAAGGCAGGAGTGTGATGGCTGAGGAAAACAGAAGCGGGTCATAGGAGATGCATGAAGGAGCAAATAATGCATTATGGGCATGAATTCAGACATAAACTCCACTGCTGTGTGCGACTTGCATTCTGTCTCAGGAATGTCCAAATTGTTTAAAACTTTTTCTAAGACATATGCTCCAATTTTTTTGCTGCCACTAGAATGCTTCGTCATTGTTTTGTTTTGAGATGGGATCCTGTTTAGTATGTTGCCAAGGCTGGCCTCAAACTTATAATCTTCCTGCTTCAGCCTCTGCATAGCTGGGTTACAGGCTTGATGTGTATTTCTCTTCTATAAAATCACTTTGGATCCAATCAGGACACAAAGTCCAAGAATATGAGCTGCTAGTTCAACACAACTTGAATTTATTTGGTGAAGGTGATCACTGATCAATATAATGGTCATTTTAGACAAGCATAGGAAGTAGAGAAATAAAAGAACAAACTAAGTTTCCATCTGACCTTTGGACAAAGTCAATATATCCCTGATACCAAGTGACTCTTAAGAATGGCCACTCATCAACTCCTATGGACTGAGCAGGAATAATTCACAGAAAGAAAAGGAAAGGATTCTTTACCTGAAATCTTGCCCCGAAGCAGTAATACTAGCAGTAATACTACCTTCTACCAAAAAGGGCGCAGAAAGATTGCTGTCACTCTAATTCCAGTCATTGAAGGAAAGATCCTTTCTACCACAGATAGAACTTTTTCTATGTAAGTTTCAAGATCTGGACTCCAGATCACCTGAGAGTTGCATATTATTTGTGGGGAAGCGTTTTCAATCTTACCTTGTTCTAATGTATAAAGAAGAAGAAAAAGAATGGAAGAAAATGAACAAGAGGCCAAGAGTGAGGGGCAGAGGCATGAGGGGAGTTATTTATTAAACTTGGCCCAATGGATGCTGCTAGCACCGCCCCTGCAGCACCATGAAGTCTCCATATGGTGTGGCTTCCTCCATGGCTCTCAGAGACGGTGTTTGTAGAATATCCCTTACTGCTGCTGGGTCACAGCTCAGTGCACTGATTTCCAGGTTCTTCGAAGGAGAGCTCCCAGATGCTGCTGTCTTGCAGTAGTGGTTCAATGTCCTCATCACTGCCCCGTTCAGGGGTGTTGCTTAGGCTGCCACTGATGCTGTTGCTATGTTTTTGAACTCCACTGGCTTTTCGGTATTCGGGAATGAATAAGGCAACCAGAAAAGACATAAGTACTATACATGCTCCAAATAAAAACGGCGGGCCTGGGATGAAAGCTCCCTGATGGATATGGGAAACAAAAAATAGACAAAAGTGTGGTTATTTTAAAACTTTCCTGTGCAATGGAGCCCAAAGTAACCTTGACATCACAATCCTTCTGCCTCTACCCCCAAAGTGCTGGGATTATAGGCATGCACTACACCCAGCATGGTTAGTCTTTTTAACTTCAAACCCTTAGTTTTGAATAATTAAAAACAAAAAAAGCTCCGAAATTCTTTTCTCTTAAACCCATATTTAACTAAATGTCAAGGAAATTCTAGGTTTAGCGTCTTGAAAATAACACAAGGTAACTAATTATTGCTTTCTACACCATTTCTAAATAGCATAACCTACAAAACCAAAAGGTTGGTTTTATAATCTCATCCTGTAACCTCAGTCAGACCTTGCACTTCCACACAGGAACATAAATAAGCTGAGGCTTCGAAAGAACTCTGTAATAAATAATGTCTCTCAGCCAGGCATGGTGGCACATACCTTGAATCCCAGCGCTTGAGAGGCAGAGGCAGATGGATCTTGGTGAGATCAAGTTCAGGTCAGCTGTGGCAACAGGGAGACCCTGTCTTAAAAACAAACAAACAAACAAACAAACAAACAAACAAACAAACAAACAAAGGTCTCAGAAAGAGAGAGTGCACTAATTTTGTTTCTTTCCTGCTGGGTTTTTTTTTTTTTTGTCTTTTTGAGACAGGGTCTCCCTGTAGCCCAAGCTGTCCTGGAACTCACTATGTAGACCAGGCTGGCCTTGAACTCACAGAGATCCGCCTGCCTCTGCCTCCTGAGTGCTGGGATTAAAGGCGTGCACCACCACACCTGGCTTCCTGCTGTTTTTTAAGAAAGGGTCTTGTGTATCCCAGGCTAGCTTCAAACTTGCTATGTAGCCAAGAATGACCCTGAACTTCTGTTCTTCTGCCTTTATCTCCTGAATACTGGAATTACAGATGGACACTACCACACCTGTTTATGCTGTGCTGGGGATCAAACCAGGACTTTGTGAAATGCTAGGCAAGCAACTTACCTACTGTTACATCCTGAAACCCATTTAGCTAGAGTTTCAGGTCTTTTCATTTTATTTAGCCTGAGATTAGCCAGATAATAGCATCCTGATCATACTGACTATATAGGAGAAAACAATCTGAATGACATGTTTTATTTATATAAATATAAGACATTACATCTCTGAAATTAAACCCCTGATTCCAAGAAGCAACGAATACAGAACTTGCTGCTGTCAAATACAATGTTAATGCACAAATTTAGAGTATTCTAAATTTAAGATCACAAGATTATGCTATAATCAAACACAACTGTTATAAAATAGAGATCACTGAATTACCTGTAGGGGATCATCATCAGAATTTAATTCTGGACCCAACTCACTCAGTTCAACATGGAACATGTAGAATATGAAGCCATACAGTGCTGGCCCCAGGCCATTGCACAGTCCTCGTATCCCAGTTATAATCCCCTGGGCAACCCCTAAACCAGAACAAAGAGAAGGGAATCAGTCTTTTCAGAAAAGTACCTCAAGATAGAGAGCTTATCCAGTACTCTACTACAAATTAAGATCTGCAAATTTAGCTGGACTAAGTGCCATTGTTTTGGCTATTTAATAGCATATATTATAGTCATAAGAAAGATTTTATATTTTCTTTTTAAAAATTCATTTTTATGTATTTATTTTTATTTTATGTATATGAGGGTTTTCCTATATGCATGTAGGTGTACTCACCTGTGTTAGGTAATTTTACCTGCAACAGTCAGAAGAGGATAATGAATTCCCTGGGACTAGAGTTACAGGCAGTTGTGAGCCACCAAGTGGGTGCTGGGAACTGAACCCAGGTCCTCTGCGAGAGCAATCAATGCTCTTAACTGCAGAACCATCTCTGCATCACACTATTGTATTTGTATTCATTACACAAATGTTTTCCTGGTTTTCTTATGTCTATTTAATAGTACTCTCTATACTGAGGTCTATTGTATGTAAAATGACATGATATGTTTCTGAAATCCTTTTGCATTAGATCTACCTTTAAATGGTAAGAAAATGTAAAATTAATAATTCCTATATCAGATAATTTCCATTTTTTCTGTGGATTGAGATTTCCTTGTTTGGTTCAATTACTTATTCATTTGCAATAAAAACATGCCTTGGCCACAGACACCATTGGCCATATATGAATGCAGTGTGGCTCCCCCTCCCCTCAAGGCTGTCATCCTTGATCCTTGTTCATCTCAGCGCAGGCCTCCACTAAAACATTCTGGAAGTGCCAACTTCAAAATATCTCTACTTTTTAATACAGCAAGAGAAACATCAGCTGGAATCATATGAAATGGATACCACTTCTTTAAGTCAAAAATGGTCAAATATAATTCAGACTCATTTCACTGAATGCTCACATCCAGCCAAGTTACTGCAGTTAAGGGTGACATACAAAATGGTATCACTTAAAGCCCACAAATCTAAGAATGGATACATATAACATGGCTCATTTATTATGTGTAAAAGTAGGTCTAATGAATGAACTATCTTTTAAAATTTAGGTTTTTGTTGAAGCTTTTAAAAGTGCTTTTAAGCATTTAAGAAATTTCCCTTTAGGGCTTGGGTTTAGCTCAGTAGTACAGTGCTTGCCTAGTATATTCCAGGCTCTGAGTTCAATCCTAGCACCATCAAAAATAAATAAATAAATAAATAAATAAATAAATAAATGTTAGAGGAAATACAAATGTTATCTTTTCCTAAAATTCTCCATTTTCCTATAACCTACTATTACATACAATGAAAATAAAAAGCAAATAAATGAAATAAAATCCACTTCCTGACTACAGTAAAGTGGGTCATAAGGAGGAAGAAGAGGAAGGAAAAGGGCTAATTCTGGCAGTAAAACTGGCTGAAAGACCAGGCATGGGAAGGAAAGATACAGTCTGCTCTCTGTACAGCACTTCTAACTTACCTGAATTCATGGCTCCCTGAATCCAATCACTAACAACATCACAGATTTTTTTTATCCTCTCAAAGATCTATTTCTTAAATTAAACTCATAAGACTCAATTATTTAATCTTAAAGAAATTTTAGTGATTAAGTGAATAACTCATTGCTAATTCACTATCATTATTTTATAGAACTCTGATAAAATATTACAAGCTAGTTAATTCTCATGTTAACAGGCAGAATCAAAGTCAAGACTGGAAATGTTTTTTGTTTTTTTTTTTAAATTTATAATTCTACTAATAACCTGAATTGCTGAGTCTGGATTGCTGAAGTTTGAGTGTGAGCAGGGAGGAAATCAGAACTTTCATACTTGTTAAAAGAAGCAAGTATGCTCCCAGAGCAGGGGCCACAGTATTGTCAACTCCTGGTATTGATATGGAGAGCACGGGGCTTCCTGCTTCTGGGCAGAGAGGTTCCAGCTGAAGGGACAAAGAACAAGGGCTGACCAACTTTACCTTGCTGATCTGACTCTGCATTCCGAGAGACAAGAGCACTGACTGCTGGGAATGTAATGCTAGACATGGCAGCCACAGTCCCTGCTGCCCACATCATCCTGAAACAAAACAAAAAGAACAAAAATCATCAACCAAGTTATTAATCCTACTCAAAATGTATCAAAACAAATGGTTCAAATGAAATGCAGAATTTCGTATTTGCTTCCCAGCTAACCTCTAATTACTAAAGCATTTCGAATTTCTCTACTTATAAATGCAAAGTGAAGACCAATTCCAATGTCTAAAATGGGAGACAAGGACTCTGGTATTTGGCAATTGAGTACATAGGGATGCTTACCACACAACAGAATGGAACTCAGAACTCTTTTTGTTCCTTTTTATGCACAGGCCTTAATTTGACCTTTCTTCCCATTTATGGAAAGCTAAAATATAAATACTTTTTAAAAAATGATTCAAGATACATAACTTTGGAAATATTAGTGTGTCAAACTAAAGTGCTTTATTTCATGATGGTTAAGCAAGATGCCATGATAAGTCTTTATTCACTCTCTTTTTGTTTTGATTACATATGATATCCTTGAAAGTAGATAAATTATTTAAGAAGTGATGTGAAGAAAATAAGAGACTGTGGAGTGTTCAGCAATAAATGGGACATCTATTTCATAACCCCTTTCCCAAAGGCTCAAGGACCATCATGGAAGAGGGGGCAGAAAGACAGTAAGAACCAAAGGTAGCAGATACCTACAGTCAGCCAGTATTTGCTGACAACAGGTGGGACTCCTTGCCCAAGAGTGGCACAAGATCAAGCCAGACAAAATCCAAGCATGGAAGGGGGAAGGGCTCATGAAGTTCCACCCCTAGCTGAGGGCTACTGGCAACTGATGGCTGCTAGGGAAGGGAGAGTCAGTTTTTTTCAAGGATGCAGTCCCTGAGGGCTACCCATACTCCAGTAGATGGTCCTACACCCATGCACATACAGGCAGCAGGAAGCAGACATGCCAGTATTAAAAAGTAGAGCACATGAGGTAAGGAGGAGAAAGTGATAGAAGAAAAAGTGATAGGGGAAGAATTGAAGAGGAGGGAACAGGTGTGGATTTGATCAAAGCATTAAATGCATGTATGAAATTCTCAAAAAAAAATATTTTTTAAGTAGATGCAAAGCTGGACATGGTTGCTCGTACCTAAAATGCCAGCATTCAGGAACCCTCGGCAGGAAGATTGCTGCAAATCTGAGGCCAGCCTGGTGCTGGACTACAGGGTTGGGTATTAAAAACCCAACGGGGGTGGGGGAAATAGAGACAGAGAGACAAGAGCTTTATTGGAGGGCTGGGGGATGAGGGATAATATACATTCAGTTGAGTGATGACTCCAGATGCAGTGGAAGACTGATGAGGTGCAGGAAATCTTTACAACTCATCTCAAATCATTCAGCTCTACTACTGCCCAAGGGCGAAATGATGAAAACACCAAACTAGTGAACTAATTCTTGTTTCTTTTATCACAGTCAAGTAGCCTTAGCTCCTCTAACACTCATTACATCTGTTAATTCATTATCTTTTTGCTTTCACAATATGTGACTCTAATGGGGAGGCTTACCATGCCTGAGATCCAAAACCATACCAGGCCAACTGGAGCATCTGGAAACCCAAGCCAAGGAGGACAGTATTCTTATTCCCCAGTGATCTCATCAAGATGCTAAGGAAGACTGTCTGCAAAGAAAAGGAGACAACTCTGAGAAGTCAAGAATTTGATCACAAACTCAAAATCAGAGCATAAGCTCTGTGAGAAGTCCACTCGCTAACAGCCAAGGGCACACAGTCTTGTATGTAATCTCAGCGGGCAGGCAGTAGTGCTACCTTTTCCAGGGTGGAATTTCAGGGCTCTAGTGCTGACCTTGTGTTTGGAACCTTTGACCTCCTTCTAGAGAAGCCTGTCTACCTGGTGCTCTGCTGATACCTCCCAAAAGGTTAATACAGCTGTACCCCAGTGATCAAAGCTGATAAGACTACAACTCAGGCTTCTTTGGAGAAATGCCAACAAGCACTTAACCTCCAGCAGAACCCTACACCTTCTGTAAATGTTCAGCAGGGTTTACTAGTCACTCATGGTTGTTTCACAAAGCTGTCTTAATAAATATATACTGTGTTAAACACAGCTTATTGAGATAGTCTGAAAAGGAAGACAAAAGACATCTCAGGATTAATCAACTAGGTTAATGTAAAAAACAACAACAAAAAATCATGATCAACTTGGAAGTTTAACATAATTTACATTTGCTAATATAGCCAAAACAACAAGAAAAGAACTTTGCCTGCATGTATGCCTATGAGCCTTGTCAACTTCTTGCTTGAGAGAACAATCAGTTTCACAGACCTCTCATTTCCCCTACAAAGAGCTAACTACAGAAGAGTACTCAGTTTGGCCTAGGTGGCCATTTCAAGGACACAGCCTCTAGACCATACCCATAAGCTGCAGGGAATGCCCTTAAAGCAGAGCAGTGAATTAAAATAAAGGATGTAAACCCTTGCCTTCTGGCATTTTACTTTATAAGAGGCAGGGAAGTGTTTACTGTTTTTTACTCACTGCACATGCCAATTCACATTTGTTTATTTTTGGAGACAGAAATAATTTTCACTATTAAGATAACATTCAAACACAACTCTGATTAATTTTGCACTATCTGGTTGTTTTATTTTTCTCTAAAAATTTTTTTTATGCATACTTATTGTATGTGTGCACACATGTACCTCAGTGTGCATGTGGAGGTCAGAGAATAACTTGCAGTTATTTGGTTCTCACCTTCTGCTATGTGGGTTCCAGGGATTGAACTCAGGTTGCCAGGCTTGGTGGCAAGCACCTTTACCCCTTTTGCCATCTCACTGTTTTAGAATAAAAAGAATTGATTTGGCCAAATTATAACTAATATTCTATTGAAATTTGTATGGTGTTCTACTGAGTCCTGAGAACCTGACTAGTTCTATGAGTTGTTCCCTGTCAGCTTCCTGGACCTGATGCCTTACTGTCCTTGTACAGCAATGTGTCACAGCAGGGCTAAGCAGCTGAAGCATCAGCCCAGGGAACTCTTTCTAACTTGTGTATATGTGGCTTCCCATGGAGCTGCAGTGATCAGACTTTGAAAAAATTTAAGAAGCTTTGTCATTTCAACCCATATTTTGTACAATACAAACAACAAAATCTAAAAGCACTGACCTGGGCCACAATGGACAGAATCCCAACCATAGCTATGAATGCTGCGATTTTCACAGATCCAAAACCTATGACCTGTAGGAATGAAAGAAAACTTTCATAACAGACATTATAAACACAGTAAGAAATGCTTGTGCTATTAAAATGATAGGAAAAATCAGCTGAGGAGAGTACACAAAAGCAGTAGAAATTAGGGTAGTGACAAAGCTGAAACAATTTAACCCACAATTTACATTTAAATCTGACATAAAATCATTATAAATAGGCACAATTTGTAAATTTTTGATAATTTTATGTGTATTTCGTATTTTCCCTCTGTTTTAGACTATTTGCAATTTGGAGACAATGATAGCTTGAAATAAAGAGCGATAAATAAAGTGATTTGACTTTTGATGCTGCCAAGGCAGGATCTGCCCAGAGGTGAAATCACTTTAAGGTCATGTTCAAAAGACTGAGGAGGTGGTTACAGTAAGATGCCAGAACCCACAGGAGATTAACTACCTCAGACTCTGAAGCATAGTCCTGAGATGGGTGTGCTTGAAAAAGCTCCCAGGGCATTTCTAATGAGCAAACAGCCAAAACTGGCTGACAATTGACTTCTAAACCTCCAACTTAACAGTAGCTCTGATATGCCTAAGAATTGTATGCTTTAAAACTACCATCTTTTACTGAAATTCTATCAAATACAAAAAAAAAGTTTAAAATAGCTATACATTCTTCTCATCTTATAAATGAGCACCTTGCTCCCAGTCACACAACTAGATAATAAAAAGTACCAGGATTAGAACCTCTAGCTCTTGATCTAGTGATGCTGACACTAACAATGTTCTATTACTACCTAATCACATGCAGTCATAAAATTTGGAGCTGGTGCGGTAGCTCATGCCTGTAATCCCAGCACTTGGAAGGCAGGCAGTGACAGCTTATTAATATTTGCTAGGGCTGGAGATATGGCTGAGCAGTTAAGAGCACTTTTTGTTCTTGCAGAAGACCTGGGTTCAGTTCCCAACACCTACTTGGTGGCTCACAACTGTAACTCCAGTTCCAGGTGATCCTATTGCTTCTTCTGGCCTCTGTGGGTACCAGGCACCCACATGCTACATATACATACATGTAGACAGAATACTCATACACATACAATAATCATAAATCTTTTAATAAAAGTTATATGCTGTGATTCCAAATCTAACCTTCTGAAAAAGGCAGAACCATGGAGTAAGTAAAAAGATCAGTGGTTGTCAGGGCTCTGGAGTAGGGAGAGAGAGGAGTAGGTGAAGCATAGCAATTTTTAGGACAGCAAAAATACTCTGCACTAGAGAATAAGAGTTAGCAGAGTGTAGGTTCTTGGACAGGACACCCACCTAGTGCTCAGGGACCATTGCAGAAGAGGGGACTGGAAGATTGTAAGAGCCAGGGAGGAGGTGCATGACCATATGGAAATAGTCCTACAGGTGCCTGGGACCCTTCTCATACACACCTACAGCAATGGTGTCAGCATGCACAAGGTTCATGCAAACTTAGGCAGGCAAAAATCCAGTACAGAACTGTGGAAATGAACAGCAAGCCCCAATCTTAGTCAAAGAATTACTGGCAGCTGATTACTGCTGGGTTAGGAAGAGCTGATCTTCTTGAACGGAAAGACTCTAGATAGGCCAAGTAAACCTCAGTGGATGAAATTGCACTGAGGGACATCTCAGGATACTAACTTTACATAATAGGCCTTAATACAAATGACAGAATGTATGAACTCCAGTGAGGGGGGCTATGGGAGGGTGCCTAAGGGGAAGGGGGCATAAAGATGATTTTATGTATGAAACACACAAAAATTCAATAAAAATTTTAAAAAAATATTCTGCACTACACTATAATACAGGATAAAAATTATCATACATTTGCCTAAACCCACAGAATGTATACTATAAAGAATAAACACAAACTAAAAATTTTGCTATGATGTGCCATGGAGAGTTTCTTTTCTGGTCCTCTCTGTTTGGTGATCTGTATGCTTCTTGTATTTGTATGGGCATGTCTTTAATTTTGTGAAATTTTCTTCTATGATTCTGTTGAAGATCTGGTTCATGCCATTATCTTGGGATTCTTCCCCTTCCTCTATGCCTATGATTCGTAAGTTTGGTCTTTTTATGGTGTCACACAATTCCTGCACATTCCATTCTTGTGCTTTCTTAAATTTTTCATAATCTTTGCTTGAGTGGTCTAGTTCGTCCACTTTATCTTCCAGTCTTGATACTCTGTTTTCCATTTCATTCATCCTATTGGTGAGGCTTTCTCCTGTCATTTCTAATTGGCTTACTGAGTGTTTCACTTCCTTCTTCATTTCAGCCTGAGTAGTCTTCAGTATTTCTAGTTCTTTTCTGAATTCATTCAGAAGTTTATCCCTATCTTCCTACAGTTCTTTGTGTGTTCTTTAAATTCACTGAATTCTTTTTATCACGTTTATAATTGTTCTTTTGAGTTCCATGTCTTGCATTATCTCTAGGGGGTTCTTGTACTCCTCTAGAGCACTATTGGTATTTGGTGGGGATATGTTATTTGGTTTTTCATGTTATTATTTTTTTCTCTCTGATTTTGGCATGTGAATTTCTTTTGTGGTTTCCAATTCTTGTGTGAGACTCAGGTCTACTTTTTTTGCTATCTCCGAGTGCCGGGATTAAAGGCATGCGCCACCACGCCCAGCCTCATGTTATTTTTCTCCGTGATTTTGACATGTGAATTTCCTTTGTTGTTTCTGATTCTTGTGTGAGACTCGAGTCTTCAAGTTTAGGTCTGCTTCTTTTTGTAAACTTTATGTGCTTTTGTGGTTTACTTTTTGGGCATGAGAGGCTGGTTCGTCTAAGCTTCCGGTTCTCTCTTTTGATTTTATATTGGAGTGGCCAGATTGCTTTTGTCTTCAGGAGTTCCCACAGAGGCCTAAGTCAGATGAGGATCAGATGCTCTCAGGCTTTCTCCTAAGGTCTGGATCCCTCCAGGAAAGATGTTGTCCTCAGGAATTTGGGGGTTGGACTGGCCTGGGAGCAGGGCCCAGGAAAGATGCTGGTCTCTAGCAGCTGGTGGCTGTGCCACCCAGAGATGCAAAGGGAGACGGGGACAGGAAGAGGCCCCAAGGGCTCCTGGGGACTGCACTGAGGAGCTGGGTTGGTCTGGATGCAAAGGATCAGGAAGCCGAGAGGTCAGCCCCGGTGTCCAGGAAAGAGGCTGGAGGGTTGTGCAGCCCAGGGAAGCAGAGGTGATGGTGGGACCAGGCCCAGAGGGTTCTTGGGGACCTCGAGAAGGAACTAGGTTGATCTGGATGCAAAGGATCAGGAAGCAGTGGTGATTTCCCACCCCCCCCGGTGTCTGGGGTGCCAAGACAAGGAATGGGACAGTACCCAGGCTAGGAGGAGAGACGGGCCAGGGAGACAGGGGGGTGAATGAAGCTGGGGGAGTCAAGGCGTGGAGGGCCCACTGGACTTACCCAGGAGAGAGGCTGCAGGCCCAGGGAAGCTGAGGGAGTGAGGGCGGAACCAGGCCTATAGGGCTCCTGGGGACCACGAGAAGGAACTGGCTTCGACTGGATGCAAGGGATCAGGAAGCAGTGGTGGTTCCAGGCCGAGGGGTCAGCCCCGGTGTCCAGGAAAGAGGCTGGTGGGTTGTGCAGCCCAGGGAAGCAGAGGGAGGTGAGGGTGGGACCAGGCCCAGAGGGCTCTCAGGAGAGAGGCTGCCGGGTTGTCCACAAACTACAGACTTTGAGCAGGTAAATGTACTCATCAGCTGTATCAAATGGACTACTCTGGTGCCAGTTGTTAGCAGCAGAGAAGGTTTTGTACCTTCCTTTTAATTTGGCTGATCCCAATTCTCCTCTAGAAAAAGATCTCAAAATTTTGTTTTCAATAATTCTGTGTTAAAAGAGTATTTCCACAGTAGACTTCTCACTACATTTTTTAAAATGTGGTCTTGCTATCTTTCCCAGACTGGTCTCAAACTACTGGTTTCAAGCTACCACTAAAGTCATCATTGTATTATAGTCCCTCCCTAATTATGACGTTTCTGTCAGCACCTATAGTTACCACTAGAAACTAGTTCACAAGTTTTCTTTGCTACAGGGGTCTCCCCAAATCATCTTCAGATAATCGCAATCTCTGATATTCTTCATGCTCTGAGGCTTCTAGGTACCCACTACTCACCTGCCTGAGATACAGGAAAAAGCTTGAATACTGTCCAGCTTCAGGAAGGTATGAAAGAAACACTGTGATGCAGATGAGTAAGACAGTAGAATCTTTTCCAACTTTCTTCAATGACTGGGAATAAGGAGAAAGCAAAACCACAAACGTCAGCAGTTCCTGTGATACTTGGCTTCACTACTTTCATCTATTAGAATGAGTAACAAAAGAATAGGTTATAAAAGTGAGCCTTAATATCAAACCTACCACCATTTCTCTGGAAGTTGAACGTCGTCATTTCAGAAGTATGAACTTCCAATAATTTGGAAAACTACGTGCTATCTGTTACCAACACTAATTCACATTCCTAAATACTCCCTTAAATAGAATTTAAAACAGAGCCTGAAAAAATACTTCTACGGAACTCTCTAAGAAAATCATTTCTTTCCCTTGATTTGTAATGTAACTTCTTTGTAGTGATTATAGCTACTGAGTTTCCTTTTTTGTTTTTTTGAGACAGGTCTCATGTAGCCCAGGCTGGTCTCAAACTCGTTATAGAGATGAGATGACCTTGACCTTCTGATCATCCTGCCTGCATATCCCATACTTTTCATTATATATAAATTCTATGTGTTCTTCAAATTGTTGATACTCAATTTCCCTGAAACTAAGTAGACAAATTAACATGTTCCAAAACTTTTGTTTTTCCAGTAGAACAGGTTTTATTTCAATACATTAAATGTTGGATCTGACTGACAAGGGACACTGTATCCTTAAACATGAAATTTTATTTATTTTTCTTTTCAATATTGAAATGAAGAAATGAAAGGTCTCAACTTACTAATGTAACCTCTTGTGTTTGCCCTATTTGGCTTCAAATTTGAAATTTTTTAATTTCACTTTTAGACAAATAAATATACCTTATTTCCACTTTTTTCTTAGTTTTTTTCTTTTCATGTGAATGCTTTTACTCTTTTAAATTTTTTTCCAGCAAATACATGCATTTCTTGTAATCTTTCTATCCTTCCTCTGCAATGGCTTTTGACACAATTCCTTCAGCTGTTCATTATACGTAAAAGGTTTCCAGGTTGCTACTTTCCTTTTTTTGCAGGGTTACTGAATGGCCAAAAGGTGAACTGCTACTGAAGGAATGACAAGTATCACAGAACTTTTACGTCACTATCTTTAACCTTTATATAATCAATATCCCAAACAGCTAGCATCTACTGAAACCTTGCAACACCACAGACATTAGACTACTTAACTTACATATTAACTGGAATCCTCACAGCTCCCCTAACACTAAGTCACAGTAGTTCAAATTTAGAGGAATTTCAATGTTTAACCTGATCACTACAAGGAAAGAAATTTTACCTTGCAGGGTCCCTAATCCATTCCTGCTTCCTTCCCCAAATTTCTCTCCTGGCATCTGACAATGTGGCACAAAACAAGCAAGATCTTTAGGAAATGCCCCAAGGGAGCATTTTAGAAAATACTTTCAGGGGATTAGGGAAATGGTTCAGTTGGCAAAGTGCTTGCAGCATAAGCACAAATACCCAAGTTTGAGTCCCAGCATCCACATAAACAGTCAGGCACGGTGGTGTGAGCCTGTAACCCCAGCACCAAAAAAGCAGAGACAGGAAGATCCTTAGAGCTTGTTGGCAAGCTAGTCTTGATTGATTGGTGAGTTCCAGATTCAGAAACAAAAAAAATAAGGTGGACAGTGACAAAGAAAGCCATCAGACATGAACATCTTTGGGCCCTCCACATGAACATGCACATATACATATGCATACACCACATTCCCATGCCAAAAAGGGAAAAATAAACAAATTTCAGATGAATTACTTTTTATATATTGTGTATATTTTTCTATGAATTAAACATATAAGAAAAAGCAAAAATCAAGCTGATTTGTTAACCTCTCTCAAATACAATTTTAAAATTGTTTTTGACAGAAGTATGTGCTGCTGAGAGAGAATAGAGATGCTTTTCCTCAACATTTTTTTCCTGCTGTTAATGTACCACACTGCCTAATAATTCCCTTCCCCAAAATGGCTACAGAAACAAATCTACTGAATCTGTGAAATATAAGCTTAAGGCCTCTGGTTGAATATATGTTTCTTAGCAACTTAGAAAACAATTAACTTTGGTCTAACTAAGAGTATTCATTCTTTTTGAATTAACAAAAATTTACATCAAGTAATTGTTTTCATTCATTTTGTTAAAGAATGAAAACAACCACAAAGAAAGAAACTTTCTTCCCAAACTGTTCTCAGGGGTAACCTGAATATTTACTTACTGTGTCTTCCCTGTAACACACATGGCTTAATTACTAAGTCTATATGTTTTGTGGTACACAGACTATTTCAGCCCCTTACTTGTAATTAAAGGTTTTCTATTTTTACTGGAAAAGAAACAAATCAACAACCAGTGGGATCTTTAAGGCTGTATGTATCTGCTTGACTCAGAGAGATATTTAGGAAGTAAATATTTTCATGTTTTGATTTACCGCGAAAGGGTCTGCTTGTTTCCAAGAAATCTGAGCTCCCCATGAAGCAGGTCTAATTTTCTCTGGAAGAGATTCTGGAACTGCCACCAAAATGAAGCAGATGTCCAGAAGAGCCACCACCGTGGCAACTAGCACAACAAGGCTGTCTCCATAAGCTGAAGAAAGGTATGCTCCGATGGCAGGGCTGCTAACCAGACTAGCTGCAAAGGTGGCTGAGACCTGTAGGAAAAAGCACACTGTCACCCTGGATCCCACAGGTGTACATCAGTGGACAAAGCATGTTGTTCCCCAGAGTCCCACCTGCTGCAGGTACACACTGCAGCAATCCTCTCCAGGTTTTAACATGACAAATGTGTTGGGCACAAATTTTAAGAAGAAAAGAGAAGCCAGGCAATTTTTGCTTAAGAATTTATTCACAAACTGGAACTGGAGAGATGGCTCAGCAGTTAAGAACACTGACTGTTCTTGCAGAGAACCCGGGTCAAATCCCAGCACCCACATAGCAGTTAATAACTGTTTGTAACTACAGTCCCAGGGGACCTGACATCCTCTTCTGACTTTCATGGGCTTTGCATAACATGGGTGCATTAACATGCATGCAGGCAATACACTTATACACATAAAAAAAATTATTCATAAACTAACTAAAGATATACTGGAGAGCTATGATAGAAAAATGATAGAAATGAACACTGTGAAAACCTTCCTCATAAAACATTCACTCTGGTCTTTCTAAATTAGGGAATGGAGATACACAAAGGTTATGAAAACAATCCCTCCAGGACCAGGTTGAAACACAGTGGCACTGTCTTTCCTAGCATGTAGCATGATGACTCATGACTGTAATCCCAGCACTCAGGAGACTGAGTGGGGTGGGACTGCTCTGAATCCTAGGCCAGTGTGAGTTACAGAGTGAAATTCTACAACATTGTACTTTCTCACACCCATTTATCACTTGGTGACCATTTCATTAGCACAGTGGGAGAAAAGAGGGGATATTCTTACAGAAAAAAAACGTAACAAACAAACAAAAAAAGACTGAAGTCTGGGGAAGGCTTGGTAGAGTGCTTGCATAGCATACTCAGAGCCCTTAGTGCGATCATTTGCACCACTCATACCAAAATCACACAAAACAGAATGAAAAAGATTTGTCAAGGGTTTGAAGTTTTCTGACTAGAGGATGTAAATCTGTCTTCTTGTCTGTTACCCCATGGCTGCTGTCCTCTAGAGACTACAGAACCAGTTGATGGTATACTCCTATATTGCCATCTAGAATTCAACATAAGTATTCAGTCTCCAAATTATAAACAGTTTAGAGTACCAAAAGCATATTGATAAGTTATTTAACCAAGAGGTCCTTTAGAAACAACAGAAATTGTACATGGGCTACACTAGTTGGATTTAGTGAGTCAAAAAATAAATAATTTTAGGGGCTGGAGAGATGGCTCAGTGGTTAAGAGCACTGGCTACTCTTGCAGAGAACCTGGGTTCAATTCCCAGCACCCACATGGTGGCTACCATCTGTAATTCCAGTTCCAGGGGATCTGACACCTTCTTTTGGCCTCTGCGGGCATTGCACACATGTCATGCACTTACGTTCATGCAGGTAAACACTCATACACATAAAATAATAAATAAATAAAATATTAAATGATTTTAAAAAGACATGAAGATAGGAGGAATATGTCCTGGAGGGTTCTGGGAGGGGCAGGAAGCAGAGTATAGGGTATAATCAAGGTACAATGTATATATGTATAAAATTTTAAAGAGTAAATATATTGTAAAGCTGGGCATGGTGGCACACACATTTAATACCAGCACTCAGGAAGTAGAGGCAGGCAGACTCTGTGAGATCAATGCCAGCCTGGTCTATATAGCGAGTTCCAGGTCAGCTATGGCTACAGGGAGACTCTTTTACCTTTTTGCAAGAAAAAAACCAAACCAAAAACCAAAACAAAAGTTACAAAATAATAGAAATCACTATAGTTCACTATAATAATGATTCCTGGTAAGACAACAGCATTCTTTCATCTACCACCCCGTCCTCACTAAATATAAAAATACCATATATTTGAAATGACTGCTAAATTAAACATATTTAAAAGCTAAAAATGATAGAAAATAATTTCTGGAGAGAAGAAAAAAATGTGGAGAAGTCCAACTAGGGAAAGAATTCCTTCAATTCAGTATTTATCAAGAATCTACTTTGTATGAGGTAAAGACAGAGATCCTGCCCTTTAGCTCGATTTGAGAAGATACAGGCAGCCATCTGACTGCACCATACAGTGCAAAGACAGGTAGACAGTTATGGAAGCAGTGTTGTACTCTCTTTGGGCACTATCAGAGCACTGGGGTAGCAGCCATGGGTGCTACAGGAGCAATGTTGCTTGGATTTTTATGAGATCATTAGATCTCACAGCACCAAGTATACTGCCAAACAGACTGCTTCAGGTAGTTTTAAGAAAGATAATGTTTTTGCACAGCCTCATTCTTTGATTCTCTAAATTCAGCTTTAACTTAGCATTCATTAGGACTCGGTTGTGGGAAATCAACCTATAGACTTATTCACCAAACTCAATGAGCACTCATGCTCACTAGTAGGATATTATTCACTGCTGTGGCCATGAAAGAATGACCACTTCCTTGGTTTCCTGAAGGAGTTCCAAAAAGTAAAGTATATTTTAAACTGTTCTAAGTTGGGCCTCAAAAATGTCCCTTGGAATTCTATTAACATATCCTGAAAGCAATTGGCAATAAATTCTCCTATCTCTACAAGATAGATAGGCTTTAAGATAGTCAACTGGTCATAGTCCTGGGCCTAAGACAAATCCAAAAGTCTACTGCTGAGCCACAGGAGCTAGCTGAAAGCACTTTTTGAAGTGACAGTTTCAGCTAGGATGTTCACTCACTGGCTTCTTGCCATGTCCCATGAATAGGCACTAATCCTAACTATCATTTTACAATGAGGAACTGATAGGATACTTATGTCATAATTACTTCTGGTGACTCTCAGAACTCTTAAGAGTTTAACACAGAAGCTTTATGAATTATTTTCCTGTTGAAAGCAAAGAACAAACAGCTACTAAAAATTACACCATACAGGATAAATGGGCCTGGCAAGATGGTTTGTCAGATAAAGGTGCTTGCCACATAGGCCTGGAGACCCAAGTTTGATTCCTGGAACCAACATGTTGGAAGAAGAGCACCAACTCCTGCAAGTTGTCCTCTGCCCCCAACACTCATACTGTGGCACACGTGTGCACATATGCACACTCATGCACACACAAAAAACACAATAAATTTTTCAAAAGGATGAATGCTTAACCTTCTAAGAAAATGTTTGATCTAATTGGACATTATACAAAGAATATATGCAACAAAACCTTAGAGGGCCTATCTTCTGTTAATATGTACAATTTTCATGTTTTGGTGTATCCATTACGTTAACATTTTGTATAATCTAATAAATAATTTTTCAGGGGAATTATTATGTCCATGGGCATCTCCCATGGTGGAGAAAGCTGCGGTAGGAGGTACAGGCTCTTAGTGTTCTTCATGGCTCTAATGCCTGACACAGTCTACCCTCCTTGAAGCCTTCTAGGTTTTCCCTCTGTCCTGCATAGCACTCCACAGATGCCTCCACTTTAGGTGAAAGACATTAACAGGAAGAAGGAAGGAAGGGAAAGAGAGCAGATAGAGGGAAGGTGGAGTTGAAAGAGAAGCTTTCTAACTATGGGTATCTAAAGTTAAAATAAAAAGTGTTTTGTGAAACAGCAGTAACTTACCTATATGTCAATAATTGACCAATGAACACATTTATTTAGTCAGTGAATACAAACGACCACTTAACTTTAATCCAAGAAGCAGGATTTTAAAGTAAAAGGGCCTGAGTTTCTGGCATTTAACCTTTAATCTATTACTCTCCACTGTCCAGTGAGATCGCTTTTCTTCTTACAATGCAGACTTATCCCACCATGCTCTGGAAATGTACCCACAACAGCTCATCTACATGAGCACATGCTGTCTTACTGCCTAAACCATCTAAAAATAACTTGCAGAGATATGACTCTCTGGTCAAATTGCTTCTGCTGAACCTTCTAAAAGCTCTTTCTTCTCCTATATAACCATAATATCACTTAACATGGCTGAGAAAATGAGATTGCCTAATACCAAACTACCAAAAATAAAAGTCTCTTGGGCCAGTGGTACACTCCTTTAATCCCAGCATTCAAGAGACAGAGGAAGCTGACTGGAAGCCAGCCTGGTCTACATGGTGAGTTCCAAGCCTACTGAGACTACAGAGAGACCTTGTCTCAAAATGAATCCCCCAGAAAAGTCTTTCATGTGTTTTCTATTTATTCAATAACTATTTACTAGATAAATAACAAGCCTTCTTTCTATTGTGCAATGTCTCTAGTGAGTGTCTGAGTTGCACTCCTGAGATTCTAGCACCCCTCAAATTCTATTTCTGATATTATTTTAAACCTCAATTTCTGGTCAAATTTTAATAGAATGTTAATTATTGCTCTAGTTTAAAAAATAAAAACAGGGGCTGGAGAGATGGCTCAGCAGTTAAGAGCACTGACTGCTCTTGCAGAGGACCTGGGTTTGATTCCCACCACCCACATGGCAGCTACGAACTGTCCTTAACGCCCATACATGCAGGCAATATACTCATACACATAAAATAAAAATAATAAATATTTAAATAAATAAATAAAAATAAAAAGTCTAAATAAAAAGTCTCAGCACTCTGGAGGTGGAGGTGGAGGATCAGAAGATCAAGGTCATCCTCAGATATTGAGTTTGACCTAGCCTGTCTCAAGATCCTATTTCAAAACAAAAAAGGCCTAAGCCAGGTGAATTGCTACACAACTATAATTCCAGCCCTCAAGAAACTATGAAAAGAAGATTATAAGTTTGAGGCAAGTCTAGCCTACATAAGTGAGACTTTGTTTTAAAAAAAAAAAAAGTCTACCCTCTTACCCATCCATAAGCAGTACTTCGCTCGTGCTCTTGAGTGACATCAGCTACATAGGCAAATATCACAGAGAAAGTGACTGAGAAGACTCCAGACACAGAAATCATGGCAAAATACCACCTATAAAAAGAATATGATTAAGAACATCATCTATCAACAGATTATTTTAATCACCCAGGGGAGTTTTATAATCAGCCAAAGATAACATGAAGATTATAAACTAATAACTATTCAGGTATATGTAGATACATACTTAGAGAACTGCAAAATTAAAACCTGGACTTTATCACTACTCAAAAGGGTATATATTGCCTAAAAATTTGGTAGAAGAGAAAAACAAAATAAAGAATAAATAAATAAAGAATGAAGGAATTATGGGGCTGGGGAGATGGTTTAGCGGTTAAGAACACTGGTTGTTCTTGCAGAAGACCCTGGTTCAAATCCAAGCACCCACATGGCAGCTAAAAACTGTCCATAACTCCAGTTCCAGGGGATCCAACAGCCTCTTCTGTCCTCTGTGGGCACTGCATGACATGGGTGCACTTACCCACATGCAGGCAATACACACATACACATAAAATAAAGACAACAAATACAATATTTTTTTTAAAAAAGGACTCAAAAGCCAGGCATGGTGGCACACTCCTACTCCTTTAATCCCAACACTCGGGAGGCAGAGGCCCGGGCAGCTGGGGCTACAGGGAGACCCTGTCTCAAAAAGACAAAAACAAAACAAACAAAAAAGGACTCAACTGTTAAAAAAAAAAAAGGAATGCCTTTAATCCCAGTACTCGGGAGGCAGACGCAGGCAGATCTCTGTGAGTTCAAGGCCAGCCTGGTCTACATAGTGAGCTCCAGGACACCTGGGGCTACAGGAGACCCTGTCTCAAAAAGACCGAAAAATAAAAAAATAAAAAACAAAGGAATCCAAAGTTATAGTTTTAAATATAACTGTAGTTTTAAAAGTAGCCGACACAATAAAAATTTTTCAAATTTCCTAGCTTTAGTTAAGGAAAAGACCTTCAACAAAACATCTAGTTAAAATAGCAAAAAAACAAGCTGGGGGTGATGGCACTCAGGAGGGACAGGACAAGCAGGTGGATTACTGAATCAAAGCCAGCATGGTCTACATAGTGAGTTACAGGCCAGCAGGGGCTAGAGGAAGCCCTTGTCACAAAAACAAACAAACCAAAATTTTTTTTAATTTAATTTTTATATTATTATTGTATGTTTGAGTACAGGCACCCATGTGTCACGTGCTTATACAGGTCAGAGGGGAGCTGGTTCTCTCCTTCCACTGTGGGCGGGTGCCAAAATCAGGGAGTCAGGCTTGTACATCACGTGCTTTCATCCACTGAGTCATCTCATAGGTATATTAAGAGTTCTTGAGAAACACCAATCTCTATTCATGCTAAAAGGCATCTAAGTCAGCACTTGGGAGGCAGAGGTAGGTGTATCTCTGTGAGTTCAAGGCCAGCCTGATCTACCTAGATAGTTCTGAAAGAGAATGGCCCTCAGACCCCCTCCCTATTCCTCTGAGAAAAAGCTGCCCTCCACCTAACTCTGAAAATCCCCTTCATTGTTCAAACCCTTTCCTGGTATCTGTTTATGATTTCTATGGAAATGATCTGGGGCAGAAGAGATAGAACGCTCTGCCCCAGGTGAGCTAGCCAATGACAGTATACTTGATACATCTGTGTATGGTCTCTATGGAAATAATCCAGGGCAGAAGAGAAAGAGCGTTCTGCCCCAGGTAAGACAGCCAATGGCTGTATAGGTAAAGTCTCTGGAAATCAGCCCTTGATTGTTCCAATCCTTTCCTGGTTATTCTGTGTATAGTTTCTATGGACAGCCCCTGCTTTGTGGTTTTTGTGGTTTTTGTGGTTTTTCTGCTTAAAAGCTCTGCATTTTCACTGTTCGGGGTCGCAGTACAGCTCCCGAGACTATCGGCATCCCCAGCCGGTTGGTTCCAATAAAGAGCTCCTTCTTACTGAGACTCAGTGTCTGAGTGGTCAATTTAGGGAATTTTACCGACTCTTAACAGTTCCAGGACAGCTGGGGCTACAGAGAGACCCTGTCTCAAAAAGATTAAAAAAAAAAAAGTTATCTAATAAATCTAATCTTGGTTTTATCCCTTGGATAAAACAGAAATGAATTTTTTTTTCAGCACGAAAACTAGCTTAAGGCCCAATGATGGAAAAATCACAATACTCTTTACAAATATGAAAAAAATCACTTCAATTAAACTTTGTTTATTAGCTAATACACTAACAAAAGCAGCAAACGGCATAAAAACTGGAAGGAAAAAGGTGAATTTATTTACGCCTAGAAAATCAAGCAATTAGAATAAAGACCATTTTGTATTAGAATAAAAAGAACAGAATTCATATGAATAAACTTTATTAACAAATGTGCAGGATTTAATTTTAAAATTTTCAAATTAAGGCGGGGGTGGTGGTACACACCTGTAGTCCCAGCACTTGGGAGGCAGAGGCAGGCGGATCTCTGTGAGTTCAAGACCAGCCTGGTCTACATAGTGAGTT